TGTAAAAACCAAAGGAGAGTTAAGGTCGGTAATGTTAAAACAAAAAGCTTCTTTGTTATTTTGCCAATTGATACAGGTCACATTTAAATTGAAAAATTACATACATTTTCATTGTCATGTCTTAAAATAGAAAAAAGAACAACTGGTTGTTTACAGTTTCTTGTTTTTTTTTCTTTTTAGCCTATACCAGCCCCCAAGAAGAGCTCCAATGCCAGGGATTTTGCTCAGATTATCAATGAGAAATATGGAAAAGTAAGAAATGTTTGGATGCTTGGTTCAATGATGGTCTAGTTTCTGAGACAGAACGTACATTTAGTGCATGAAATTTATCCATGAAATGCTGGTCAGGAGCAAAGTTGAGGTAAACGGTTGATGTTTCTTAAAAAGAAAGTGGTAATCTTTGCATGCAAACGCAGGTTGAACCGAGACACGAGGAACGCTTTGCTGGAACCATGACCACTGTTGATATTGCAACATCACAAGCCAAGGAAAAGGAGCGCGGGTAAGTCAAGTTGACAGGTTCAAAAGGCAGACTACTTAAACCTGCTTCTGTACCTCTTTATTGGAATTATTGTTCATCCTTATAGTTTCTGATTTATTGCCTGTAATGACAAAATGGTAACCCTTTTGGAATTCATTTTCCACTCTGTACAGAATTGCATTCAAGGGTGAAGACAGACAGCGAACCAGAGGGACGAAGAGTGACTTTGTAGACAGCTACGCAGAATGTTACCCAGGGTAAGCATTGACAGTTTGCCTTTCTTTATGTGAAAGCTTTTTCATTGGAAGGTGGTTGGGAAAATAATTAGCCCATGATCATATTGAACGGTCCACTGTCTGGGGCTACGCTCAGTGATAATGTCTTGACTTCTATTTGACAGAGCTGCGGAGACTGCTGACGCATTGGACGATTCTGATGATGAAGTGGATTACAGCAAAATGGATCTGGTAATTCATGTGTACTGTGTTCAGTTAGAGTTCCGCGCATATTCTTGGACAATGGGTTTTTGATATACGCTGGCATGTCCAATGTTCACATAGGGTACTATTAGAGATGTGCGCGTACGGGATACGTATGTGGCTCTGAAAAACTGGGCGGTTACATGTAAATCACAACTGTGTGGTTATTTTATCCCCTACACAGTAGGCAATGTGCATTTCTCACAAATTCACTCGCGGAAACACACGTGCGGTAGGTTTTTGAAATAACTCTACAAAACGCGATGTAATCTCCTAATTTTTCTGAGCCGTATACATATGCCACATCAGCACCATTTGTAATGGTTCCTTTAGATCTCTCATTGGATGCCATCTTTGTTAAAAAAATTGCAGCTCTGTATGCACTGTCAACAGGTGCGTGTTTGCGAGCTGAGCAGAATGTTCTAAAATCACGCGCGTGCCGATCCAAGTATGTTTGAAATACGGCACAGCCAACGTGTGTTATGAAAATTGAAGTAAACAAATGCCGATGAACTGGGCAATCTGTTCGAAGTGATGCCGTTCATTGAGACCTATTGCCCACTTCACAATCACACGTGAATGTTTCTTCAAAGTGTTCATCTTCCAATTCATTTTATGCCCTGTACAAAATGCGGTATTTTTCATCTGTAGGGAAACAAGAAGGGTCCAGTTGGCCGATGGGACTTTGATACTCAGGAGGAGTATAGCACTTACATGAACAACAAGGAAGCTTTGCCTAAGTAAGTCATCCCTAAGATCTCAGAGATCCTCGGGAGCTCGTAGCTTGGCATGGACAGTTCTTACAAATATTTCTCTGAATTAGTCGAGGACGATGTCGACTCCTTTTCCGGTGGAGGACTTACCTCTCTGAGGCCTCATTGTATGTGCTGTCCTTGCCAACCGTTAACTGCATGTCCCATTTTTTTTCAATAGAGCCGCTTTCCAGTTTGGCATAAAGATGTCTGACGGACGGAAGACAAGACGAACATTTGGTGAGAAGAATGAGAAAGCTGAACTGGATCGAGAGTGGCAACAGATCAGCCAGGTGAATGCGTAATGCTGTAGGAGGGATCAATATGGAGTGATCCAATAGCTGCATTGTGTTCATGGGCAAGACACTTTACGATAACTTTGGTCTTTTATGGACCAGAAAGGATAATAATGTGAAGTGAAATGATAAATTGGAATGTGTGTTTCTATAAAAGATGAAAATTACTCTGTATTAGATTTTGAATGTGAGATGACTGTCCTTGTTGATCTATATTGTACCCGAATTTTGTGGTAGGAATAAATATGTATTTGTAATAAAGTTATCACTTACAGTTAATTGTTTCAATGTGAAAACGGTATAAGTTTAATCGTAATCCATCTATTCCATTATTAATTATCATATTATCCACTCATGTCAATGTTTCTAATTTCATGGACTCGTATTTCCATAGATCATCTCCAAGAGGAAGACTGGTGCAGATGGAGGAATGTAAGTAAAAAGGACGTGACCTGGGAAGTGACCTTTGACTTTAAGCAACCCAAAAGTGTTTGGACATGTTTTTATCTGGTTAATGACGGTCCAACAAGATGAGGGTCACAAATAATAAGAAATTTGAAGTTTTTGCCTTCGAAATATTGCACTGCGCTGGCAGCCCCAGAAACATTGACTGATCTGTCACTGCCAGCTTTCAAGGACTCGGTTGACGAAGGTGTTTTCAGTGCAGTGATGAGAAAGACAGGAAGACTTTGGCCAAGTCCCTTGTCTGCTCTCTCAAATGTTGATTCCAGGTGCACAATTATGAATTCATCTGAGCCATAAATCCGAAAGATGACATATGCCGTAGTCTGGCCCTTCGGTCTTATAGTAAGCTGATGTTTTATGTGTTTGTTTTCTTTGCAGTGGGGGCAAACGACCAAAATACTGAAGAACAGCAGCGTTGGAGCCATCCATGGTCTCATTGACGCCCATCTTCCAGGCATCTCTTTCTATAACCATAATTGGAATCACTAGCCCAAGCTGTGTATGGAAACATCTAAGATTTTAGCCTGCAGGATTGTAAATATTAAGATTTTACTCTTGATTTCAACAAAAATATGTCAAATGAAGTTGGTTTTCTGTTTTCCAACTGTACAGTAAAACTGATGCAAGAATGATTACTTCAGGCAGATTTTTCCTTTGGGATATCACAAGTATTCAGATATGGTGTGCTTTAGGACTGATGGAGAAGTTTGCATTTTAACTTCAGCATACCTACATGTATTTGAATATGCTTATACACTGGTTACATTCCGTGAAGTACATGCATCATACTCTTTGTACAAAAACCTGTAGAAGTAGAAAGTGTTGCATGCTGTAATATATATGTCCAGCAGAAAATAACCACCTCGGTGTGCTAAGGTCACCATCCCAAATTACACTGTTAATGGAGTACATGTACACTACATCAGACCTGCCAACCTTGCCGCACTCCTTCCTGAGGTCAGGCGTTACCACACAATAGATTAAAAGGTATTTAGCCTTCAATTCATTTAAAATGTTGATCTATTGTGTGTTAATGCGTGACCTCAGGAAGGAGTACGGCATGTTGACAGGTCTGCTACATGTTTTCTATGGGGATCAGTAGCTGACCATGTCGGATCTTTTCAGGAGTGAACTGATGTATCTGTTCCCAGAGTGGTACACAGACATACTCAGGGGTGTAAATCTGGTCAGGGGTGGGTGATGGGGATTTGATTTATCCCCCATACATGTGTTTTGATCAGGGGGATGGGCTATTGGCTCCTCCCCTCCCCCCTACATTTTCCTGGTGGGGGGGGGGAAACAGTGTGGATTTAGAGGTGCTTTGTTGAGCTTGCCAACAATGAGAGTGTATTCAATGCACTGGAGAAGGGAGAAAAGCTACAAAGTGTGGAATTTGCAGTTTTGATGTAAGGTTAAGTGGGTGCACATGGACATATACATAAGATGTACTTCTGTATCATGATTACCACTCCCTTGTGTCATATGGTGATGGGGGGGGCTCCCTTCTTTGCAAATTTCCATGGCCAAGCAGTTTTTAAGTTACCCCCCGCCAAATCCCGGGGACAGATTTGCACCACTGCACATACACATGGCAAACCAGTTTGTTTGCTCCGTTTTCTACATTAATTATACGAAATAGAATCCACTAAGTATCTAGACAAAATTTGAACTGCTACGATATCTGTTGTGGGTGAAAAATGACCACATATACATTGAAAGGGATGAGAGTGTACGATTTAGGAAACTCTGGTGAGCTGGAAAGATTTTGGTGGTGGAGTCTTCAGCGAGTGGCAGAATTGGCCTAAAATTACACATCTTCACACACACAATCTAACAGACATCCTTCACTTGCATGATTAGTCTTGAAGTGATTTATCTGGGCAATGTTGGCAAAGTGTGGCTCCGAAATTGCTGTCAGTGCCGTTTTAGAAAATAAGGTAGTACAGAATGGTCATCATTGTTTAATCTGTAGGTAGCTCTGTAGTATTGTTTGTGGATAATAAATTGTTCATGAGGAATTGATTGATTAAAGTACCTGTCCATGGTCCAGTGAGCTTACTTTTCAAGAATGTGCTGATGAAAGTCTTGTGGTTGAAATAAATACAAGCAGACAGACTGCTACAAATTTCCAAATTTTCAGCACAGTTTATTGCATCAGATAATGGGACCAATTTTAAAAAAGACAACAGTAATTAAGTACATGTAGACATGTTGATCTGGTTATCAGTGCAAGCATTCCATACTGATAATGATCTCCTAGCTCAAGTTGCAGGGAACGGAGCAATTCTTTCATCAGCCAATCCTGTTTTCTTTCTACTTTGCGGTTATGAAAAACTGTATTAAATTTTAAAGGGAAGAAAAGATGGAGATTTCATGCAGAATCGAATAATCGCACAGAGTGATCGGGTGATCTAATCATGGAGCTGCAGATCAGTCGATCGTTCGCCAAACATTTGACGCGCCGCCCGCCGCCGCGCCCCGCTTTGATGCCCCCGTGACTATTTCGTGAAATGGTAAGAGCAATCTTGCAGATTTCGCGGACAGTGTGGTTCGTAACAGTCGTCGAGTATATCCCAGTACGAAAAGTACGTGCGTGTCACCGCTTGCCCAGCATTTAAATACCCTGTACGTCATGTGCATGCACTCGTGCACATCAGATAGATGTGTGCTTACTGCATGTACATTGTAGTCGAAAAAAAAATCAGTTTGCTAATTGGCCGGGCAGCGGCAACATACTTCAGTGAAATATCAAGTTATATTCAAATTTCATCGGTTTTTAGCCCAAGAGATGACTGCAAGTGCCACCGAATCAACGTTAATTCACCTTTGATGTTAAATTGGAGAAGTCGGTAGGTCTTGGCATGGAGGTAGAATCACCTCCATGGTCTTGGTAAATTTTGAAGGAATTTCGTCGCACCTTTGAGCATGTTAAGGCTTTGTTGCCACTGACTGTCATGACCAGGGCTGCCTAGCACTTTTAGTAGAAGTAGTACTAGTATATCACCCTGAAAATGGTCAGGATGGTTCGAGAAGGCAGTGACCAGTTATGTTTTAATAAAGATAAAATATCCCCAGAACTAACGTCTGTGACCGTATAGTCATGATAGTCACCAGGTCACCTAATGTCGCCACCTATTGTAAAGTAGGTTCTCACATTCAGTAAATTAAGGACTTGGCGACTAATCACAGTAGCCACACTGGTGGGGCGATAGTCACAGATGCCATGGGGTTTGTCGTTGACAGTTCTGGGTGTATCAAAGTAACACTAACATGACTACATGTACATGTAAGTTTAATTTCATCTCGACACTTATTTCATGGAGAAATAAAACACGTGCTGCCATATGGCATTGTACAAATAAATGTCCTTGACTGTACTGTCTCTAGGTCCCTTGTTTCGCCACTTACCATGCTTGCTGTGAAAACCAATCAGACTTGATAATAGGTGGTGAAATTAAGGAACTGATGACTATATGGTCAGAGATGTTAGCTATGTTCATGATGTTAAACAGGAAACAAAGAGGCCCTAACACTAACAGCCAGGGGTTTACTACATACTGGGCAACTACATGTAGTATTCATAATTTATTTGTTGGCCTACGTCTACATTCAACCCAGGTGAACTCCTTGACCTCACTATATACACGTTAGTCCTTAGGCTACCCTCAGAACTGTGTTGTTTGTCATCCGCCATGCTCCTGTCCCTGATGAATCACACAGTTCTGGAGATAATCAGTCGTAATGTAATGAAGACTGCTGTCCAACCTGGGCCAGCCACTACATGTACAGTACTGTACATTGTACTTTAGCATGACCATCAGAGTCAAAAATCGGAAAAGGAGCAGGCTTACAGCTACTGGTAATGTACCTCTGGAAACCAAAAGCTGTGATTTTACATTTGTTTATAATAATTTCAATTTTACAATATACTTGTACAGATGCATATACATGTATTGTATTTGAAAGTGTTACAAATCAGTAATATTCTGAAACCTTTAGGTGTCTGCAGTTATGCCTAAAAAGTCTAGCAAGCATGTTGCAAGCAAGAGAATCACTGACTTCATGCGCCCAGACTCTGCCAAGACATCAGATGCATCCAGCCCATCTTCTTGCCAGGAGAAATCTGCCCTTGAGATGGTCGATAACAGGCATGACAGACTCAAAGTTGATGCTGTACAGAGGACCCTTGAGACAGTCTTCAAGCACAAGACCTTCAAGAGCTCATTGCAGCAGAAAGCTGTGGAAACGGTCACCGAAGGTATGCACGGTGTAGTTGAATTCTTTGACCACTGCTAAAGACTACCAGTTATCCATACAGTGTAACAACCACTGTACAGCACAGCAGTTTACCGCCATACCGAACACCGGTTTACTGAACAATCAGGTTTACTCAACATTCTCCTTTGCTCGTGAAGTTTTACATATGTTTATAAACATGTATGTTTATGCATGGGCGTAAATATTGGGGTCACAAATGGGGGTATGTATCCCATAATGCCCCGGCTTTTCATGGTGGAAAAAATAAGCAGATTTTGAAGAAGTTTTCTGAGTTCCCAACAACCAAATGTGTTCAGTATCACACAAAGGGGAACAATAACAAAGCCATAAGCATGCCGTTCTCATGTCCATGTAAGATTCAGCAGGAATGTAAGACAGTTGTACAACTATATCATCAACATTGCCCTCTATAAAGTGTCATATGGTGTCATCAGGTCCCGCCCCCCCTTTTCAAATTGCCATGGCAGGGTTAGTCATCCTTCCCCCTACATTTAGCCATCCCCCATCCCTCCTATTTCTGGCACAAATTTACACCACTGCATTTTTGACTGATGAGAATGACTTGAGAGTCTGACGACTCAATAAAGTAACAATAGCCAACATGCACTGCAGTCAATATTGTTTGTAGATGGGCCCTACACGTACATTTGTAAAGTACATTTGCACCATTGCTACAAAAGCAAGGATTTTTACCTCGAAAAGAATTCATCAATACATGCGCGGATGGACAAATTAGCTTTTGTGATTGAACTCAAAGTAGTTTGCTGGTTTCGATGGTTTTATACGTACATGCAGCTTGCCTGAGCTGACATTTTCCTGAGGTAGGCCACCATACATTTGAATGGGCTGGGAACCGGTGCATCAGTGACTGAAAATTACCATACCATTTGTCCGTCTACTGAACATTTTGTGTTGGATCCTGCTGTGTTTTTTTTTTTTTTGTAGCAGTGTTGTGCTGTACGTAGAAGTAACTGTTTTCAATCAAAAGTTGAGCTCATCCTAGACATCTAATGTTTTGCCCCATATGAATGTACATGTAGTTAATAGAATTTTGTGGAAGGTTCCCTATCTCAGCACCTTGGAAAATATTTAGTATAAGGATTTGGTGCACTGATGTTTGATTTATACTTTTTGTCAACAGGAAAGAAAGATGTATTTGTTTCCATGCCAACGGGTTCAGGTAAATCCTTGTGTTATCAGCTTCCAGCATTAGTGAGGCCTGGTGTCACTCTTGTTGTCTCTCCACTCTTGGCTCTGATCCAAGATCAGCTGGAGCATCTCGACCAGATGAAGATACCAGCCGAGACGTTAAACTCACAGATACAAGGTGAGAAGAGACTAGCTATCTTGGCAGACATCTCCAGCAAGACGCCTTCCATCAAACTTCTCTACATCACCCCAGAGCTTGCTGCCACCAATAACTTCCAGTCCATTTGTCGCTCCCTAGCAAGTCGTAACCTCCTCTCCTTGATAGTCATAGATGAGGCTCACTGTGTCTCTCAGTGGGGACACGACTTCAGGCCAGACTATCTGAAGCTCGGAAGCCTACGTGTCAAGTTTCCCCTGGTACCTTGCATTGCTTTGACTGCCACGGCAACACCTCACGTGCAGAAAGATATTCTTGACAACCTGAAGCTGAAAGAGCCAATTGCAATCTTCAAGGCTAGCTGTTTCAGAAAGAATCTCTTCTATGACGTTGTGTTCAAAGATCTTCTTGAGGATCCAGTGCAGGACTTGAAGGACTTTGCCACTGGAGTGCTGCAGAAAGACAAGGAGGAAGGGGTACATTGCTCTTTTCAGCTTCTTGAAATCTAGACTCTCATTCCTGGTCTGTATTTAATGCTCCCTGCTTTTGAATGTGCCATGCTTTGCCTTTTTGTACTTTGTTGGCGACAAGAGTACAGCAAATCAAAACATTCAATAAACTTAAGTAAAGCAGAGTACAGGTTGCCAAGGACAGGTGCACTTTGCTAAAGCTGATCAGACTGTGCTATTCTATGCTGTGCTTTATATACTGTGCTAATTTTTTTCCTCTGCTGTGTGACACTGCTTGGTTGAGACTGGTATTCTTTTCTGTGCTGTGCTGTGCTACAGTGTACCATATTTTGTGTTTCATTTGTAGACTCTGCAGTTCTTTATAGTTGTTTTCTGTAAAGGTACTGAGTTTTGTCCCCTACAATCTTCACTCAGCAGGTGTACTTTGATGACTATGAACACCTTTCTCAGTCACTAATTATGGTCTAATTGTTTCATGCGTTTCATCGTTCACCCTTTTTTCTGGTTTATACCAGTGGAACTAGCCTTTTCATTCATTGTTCTTCCTTGTATAAATTTGTACCAGTTTTGTCTTCCTGGCAACAGTGCTCTTCCTACTGTTTCAATCTGTTAACTCTGTCTTAGTTTGCATGCAATACCATATTTCTCCCTTTGTGTTTCTTTTACTCTGAAGGGTATCAACGGTTGTGGCATCATCTACTGTCGTACTAGAGATGCCTGTGCTGCAGTAGCTAATCGTCTGACTCGTCTTGGCTTACCATCCGAGGCGTACCATGCTGGCTTGAAGAGCTCCCAGCGCTTACAAGTACAGAATGACTGGGTAGACGGCAGGACACCAGTTATTGTAGCCACAGTCAGTTTTGGTATGGGTGTGGACAAGGCGACTGTCAGGTAAGTGTCTCCAAAAAATCAAACCATTCCTGTTCTAAAATGCAGAATTATTCATCAGGACAATGACGAGTTACTTTGTTTATAATGTGTACCTAAACAATGAAGGCTGTTTGACATTTGTTGGCATGTGCCTGTACATAAAACGAACAAATGTTAATGTTTTGGAACATATGTTGCTGCCAGGTTATTGCCAGTTACAATGTACATCAGGCAGTATTTCCATTGTAATGGTAATGGGCAGCATCTGAATCATATGCACATCTACTTACATGTAGCTATTCTTGAAATGATTCACAGTTCATGTCATAGATGTGCGTGCTACTGCTAACAACTGTTGAGTGATTCAGATCACGGACCATTTACCCAGGGATGTACAACTTAAGCTCAGAGCTGGTTCAATGCGTGTTACGGCCGGCACCTTATCAAAGCAGAAATTAAATTGGATTACGTAACACTTTCTCTAATAATAAAAAATATATTCCTGTCTACCACTTTGTTTTCTTGTAATATTTTTAAGTCAGGGCACACCCTTTCTAAAAATATGCTGCTCAAGATATTTCATCCTATACATTCTGAGAAAAGCGTACCACAAAATTGGGGAATTTTGCCTCATTAAAACTTCGTTTCTCCTTGAAATCGATAAATGAAGACGATTTATTCGTCAAAATGAATAGATTTAAGCACCGCGTCGGCACGTTGTCTCGGCATAACCATGGCTGCACTGTACATGCTGCAACACGTGTCATGTGGTTGCGAGTTTTCTTGAGAAAAGTCGAGAGCGCCTGCGGGGGTAATAACAATCCGTAACACGCATGGAACCAAGGTGGCACATGTGTGTTTCCACTGGGGCCACTCGCGGTTGCACGTCCCTGGGTAAATGGTCCGTGTTCAGATGTAGCCAAAGCATTCTGAATCTGTGGGAGCTGGTGCACAGACTTTTACATTGATAGTCAACCTCTCAAATTGTTCACAGGGGTCTGCATATTCTATTTTGTAATAATGCTAAATGCTAACTGGTGCAGTTTTCAAGCTTCTCCTTGCATGGATCTGTTTCAGGTTTGTGGCCCATTTCAACATTGCTAAATCCATGGCAGGGTATTACCAAGAATCGGGTCGTGCTGGACGGGATGGCAGGCCAGCTAGCTGTCGTCTGTACTACTCTAGAGATGAGAGGAATCAAGTGGCTTATCTGATCACTCAGGAAATGGCTAAGGCTAAGTCAAAAGAAGAACAGAGGTCTGTAAGTAGGCAAATACTATTTCTTGTTTTAAACATTACTAGTTTTTGTGCATGGAGGCCTCCATGGGTACAAATGTGCCACACCTTGTCATGCCACAGAAAAATTTGTTTTTGCTTTGAGAAAATTCTGCTTGGCACAAATTGTGAGGCCCTCAAAATTGTAACTTTTGTTAGTTGTAATGAATAACTAATTTCTATCTAGCATATTCAGGTCACTGCAGTCAGGAGGCAGTTTGCTGCTAGTTCTCTGTATGGTTTATCCTTAATATTCGGATTATTATCTGCACATAAACCAGTGATTAGTGGCCCCTCTGTATTGATTTTGTTGCAATCATTGAACACGTTTGTGTACTGTTTGTTCAAACAGGGGGCATCAAATGGAAGTGTGATTAATAAACATGGGAAAGCAAGCTTACAGAGCTTTGAATCTCTCGTCAAGTTCTGTGAAGAGGAAAAGTAAGTTGTAGAATCACCTTGTTTACTGAACAATTCATTATATGGCACGAGGTATTAAAAGATTTTGATTTCCTTTATAATAAGCCTTGGTGGAATTTTGTGTGGAAGGTAACTTGAATATATTCTACAAAAATTGAACGCAGTCCAAGTGACATAATGGCATGTTGATGTATCTGGCATTTTGCCAAGTAATAATTACAAGAGGTTTGTGATGGAATTCCTTAAACACAAATTTAAGTTTTCCATTCTTTACGTTTTCCTTGTCAGGTGCCGCCACCTTGCAATGTCAGATTTCTTTGGTGACAGCCCACCAAACTGCAGCGGTTCCTGTGACGTGTGTAAGTCGCCGGCCGAAGTCAGCCGACAGCTGGAATATCTCAAGCGAGGTGTCCTGGCCAATTCCAAGAAGAAGACGGATCGATCGGGACGCACCTGTATCATGGAAGACACTAAGGGCAAAGTAGATAAGGATCTGTATGGAGAGGGGCGGTATGGAGCTGACAGGTGCTTGGAAACAGCATTGCTAACTGTGGATCGGTGTTGAATGTCATAGACATATCTCCAGTTTAGCGTGTACAGTTCAGTTGCATTGGTCCTGTACCATTTATTGCCCTCTTAGTGTTGAAAAGACAGAAGTTCTTGTCTCATGAGGGCATTGCAGAACCACAGTATTTGCACATACATTTTCTTCGGATTCTCTCCAACTATTCCTATTTGGTGACGTAGTAGCAGTGTACCCCTTGAGTCACAGAAAGGTTAATGGGTTGTGCAGATTTCTTTTAGGCATGCTGGATATATTGTTGAAATTTTCAACTTGTTTTTTACAAGATTTGCATCAGTCTTGTATTTCTTTAAAGTGTTCTTACAGACATGAACCTCCACATGTCTTGTCAACCAGGCCAAAGGAATTCATCAAAGAACATAATCCAAGCTGTTGAAATCTTTATCAAAAACAATTCATGCAAAGTGTTTAACAAATGCTCAAGAGTGTAGCCATCTAACCTTTGTGCATCCTGCAGCTACTATGATGGCAGATACAAGGCAAAGGATGACAGCAGTGACAGTGACGGTGATGATGATGACAAGGCAGCAGCCAGAGAGCGTACAAACATGATCAAAGCTGAGTTTGAGAGGAGAAAGAAGGTTTGTAGCATAGAAATATCAAATCATCAAGGATGACCTTTGACCTTGGGATGAGACTTGTTACCAACCTAGTGGTGTGTGTAAACAGCTGCTAAGAACCAATACTTACCTAGAACAGTTTCATGCTATTTTTATTCAGTATGACAACATTCGTCCCTTGGTTGAGAACCTTTCGTTGCACTGACCCCACTTATCAGAGTCCTTTTTGAAGAATTTCTTTCATACACAGCTAACTTCAACATGGACAGGCTGAATCTTGATTCTCCAGTCTTTCTTTGAACTGGATAGACAACTATTGTAGTGCTTAACTTGAATCTCAAACATCTAACAGCCCCCTGCAGGTGTGACAGCCAAATCATGTCAGTCTTTTGAACAAGAAATCAGTAAACCCTATTTCACATAATAGTTTGCTGATTGAAAGCTGAACATCTGAGTTTAAGGTCTTTTTTGATGTTTGGATGCAGGGTGTTTATTTACATACATGTACTATATCTAAATCGTGTCTCGAAACGTTTCTCTTTTTTTAGAATCAAAGCAAGCCAGCTGAAACTGATTTTGTCAAACCTGGTAAGATTTCCTAATAAAATCTTCCAAATAAATCTCACAGTTGTCTTATGCTTTGGTCCAGCTTGGCTTTCGAACTTAAAATGTTGTCATTGATATAATAAAAATTACTTCAGAACGACATTGCTGTGTAGTGGAAAACTGCAGCTCATATAAATTAAGGATATAGTTTAGCCAAAAGTTGTACTCTGATCCATCACATATAAGGCTAGAATTCAGACCATAAGTATTGAATTAACAGTGGGTAAACAGCAGTGTTGTAGTCAAGTACTTCGGAGAACCAAGGTTCTCTGTCAAATATTGAACTGGGTAAGAGTGAATAAAGCTGGAGTACACAGGCATTTGATGGTAAATGCGCAAAGGAAGATTACAAACAAAATGTAAGACTGCAGACACTCCTAGTTTTGTGAAATTTCTGTTTTAAGGACAAAAGTACCCAGAAAGTACTCAGCCAAGTACTTTTGTCCTAAAAACTTTACTTTTACTAAACAGTGATAGTCCGGAATCATCATTTTACTTTATCTTACCTTTATGCATGTACCATCAAATGCCCATGTACTTCAGCTTTGTTCCCCCCTAACAAGTTAAATATTTGCCACAGAACTTGGTTCTTGAAAAGTACTCGACTGCAACACTGGTAAACGGTGACTAAGGTACGCCTGTGTTGTAGTTTATTACGTAGCTTGTTGCTAGTACTGGACAGGGGCTGTCTTGTTATGAGGTTTACCTGTAATGTGTTGAATACATCTCCTGTTATAGTCAAACACAGGCTGTTGGGACTTTACAGGGACCTCGTATAATCAGCAGTGGAAAGCAAAGAACACAGAGACACAGGGATCTAAACTTTATCTTGTTATAAGCAGGATTTTGCATGAATAGTCCACTTATTGGACTGTTGGGCTTGAATAACTAGTCATGGCATTTTTTCATTTCATATTATGGCCGCGTGTTATAGATAATAACAGATTCTAGCTCTGCCTTATTTGGCAGAAGTGTCTAGGAATTACACACAAGGAGGCAAGTAACCGGATCAGTTCAATGTGTGTTATACACAGATGAGGATTGCCCCTTGAGAGACGCAGCCAACTCCAAGATCCCAGGCCTGACTGTCAAGGTATAGCCTCGTTGTGAATCAGCACAGGCAGTGGTCATGTGCTCTGTGATATCAATTGTTGCCTCTCTCCTCACACTACGCTCAGTTTCCGGAGATCCAGAATTAAGCAAGGTCGTACATAACATACACCGTAGTCATGTGTGCAGAAGACATGCGTAGATCAATGAAGATTACCTGTGCTAATGTCATCAAGGCACCCTGAAAAAAGACTTAGATCTGTGACCTTAGAAGGGTTTTAGCCCATAGCTATAGATATATTTTTGTTCAGGGAACTGAATATGTGTGAAAAGAAATGAAGTCCGGGTAGTAGTGTTCGCACTCAAATCATCACAGTGATCCTGTGACTGTCCCTGCCAGAATTGGTACCATCACCAATGCCAAGCTTGAGGGCAGCAACAAACACAATGTAATGGGGTTTTCATGGCTGCCATCTTAGTGGCTAGTGCTTTTGTTCCACAGGGTATGTAAAAAGAAGGTTTCCCTGTGGGGTAAATGAATTGCCCTGCAAGATGGCTACCGTGCATAGCCAGTATTGGACATAAGTTGAGCCTGGTGTAATGATAGATGTCATTCTAATCAACAATATATTTATATTGTTTCCCTGCCTTCACGCGATCTTCGCATTTCCGATCTGTATAGTATTTCCTTTCTTATTCAGTCCAGAGAACACTGTCTGCAGCTGATAGAGAAGGCTCTTCGAGACAACTTTGAGCAGTTTTTTAAGAATAACTCCAACAGGTTAATGGCCAGGTAATACACGGTTATTTGTTAATGTCAAGATCCGTTTAACCAAATAAAGACAGAAACATCAAAGTTTCTTTTCAGAGACGCTCTTCAAAAGGCCAATTGCATCATTGCAAGTGTTTGTTGATGTTCTTGGCTTCATGATGACTTCGTGAATTTCTTACATGTACACGTCAAGCATGCAGCTTGATGTTTGATCAGCTGCCTTTGATAACCTCCTATGCTTGCCAATGCAAATTGAAACAGAAAATCTTGCACTCTTCTGAAGTTTGGACTCTTAATTTGACTAACTCCCTAGTTGCATGCCTTGCACACACTTGCTGCAAGTCCAGGGCAGACCTATCACAAAGCTTTCAATGGTACATAAAAGGTCTGGAACAAAGCCTTTGATATATCTTTAAAAAGCAGAGCACCGAAAGAAATGATTCAAAACATGAACACATCAGACTAAAACAACAATTATGACAAATTATAACACATTAAACAATATTTGTATGGAGTCATTTGGAATTCAGGAAATTGAGTAGACTAGTGAATGAGTTTCAGTAGGTAGGGATGAAAGTGGTCCATTGTCTGCCTCTGGTCAGGATCTGAGTGTTGATGTAGGTGTTTGACGTGTTCTTTTTTCGCGGCAGTGAATGGGAATCCCATGGCCAGGCCATTGTTGCAGAGCATGAGATTTTCAAGATATCGAGACGTAGCAATATGTACAAAGCCAAGATCCTCAGTCTGGTAAGACTTCAGTAATCAGTCTGGTGTAGACTTTTTAAAGTTTGTTTTTTAAAATTTGTTTTCTTTTTACATTTGTAGACATTAATTTCGAGAGAAGTTAAAATGAATAAAAATGAGCAGGGCCTGTCATAGATCAAACAAAAGTTCAGAATTGTCACCCTAGATGTGTTAATTCTGACCCCTGTTCACACAATGAAACAATCCAGACTAATAATCAGGCAGAAACAATAAAGTTATAAGACTTATAATCCCCCAAATAATCATAAACCCTTCTTTATGATATTATTTTGCCATCCAGGGTTGAATGGTCTACTTGATGGAATGTTTTGTTGAAATACTTCATTTTAAGCATGTCCCCATTGCAATAAGAAACGTACATTATTCCAAGAGTCCTGAGTTCCTGTAACTAAGAGAGTTGTGATTTGAACCCTTTTCAACCACTTGTTTACGGATCAGGTGAGCAATATCAAGAAGGCTACCAAGGAAGCAGACATCCATGAGATATTCCTTAAAGGAAACAAAGAGAAGACGGAAGACTCTGCTGCCAATGTGCAGCTAGACAATCAGGTAAAGTTTTGACATTGTTATGTCTTGGCTCTCAATTGATTAGTATTTATAAACGCTGCACTCAGTGTTGTCCAGCAATATAAAATCAGGTGAAGTGTTTACTCATTAGTGTGCTGTGATGGAAAACAGAAACAACCAGTGCCTCACACCACCACACAACTCAAAAGTGGGATTGATTTCCATAGTGTTACCACAATCCTTCCATACTTTCACTGCGTTTGTTTTCACCTTGAGCTCTATACAGAAGCATTGCAATAGTCCAGAGAGTGACCTTGTCTTAAGTAGCAACACATGTAGTATTTATTGTGAGCTGCAGCTTATCTGAGTGAATGTTCATGAGAGTACAAAAAATTGTAATGCTGTATGAAATATACTTTCAGACCAGGAATCGGTCTGATCTACATGCTCTTGTAAAGTCTTAATAATAGGGTAAATAGAGCGGCCTATAGTTTGTGTGAAGGCACAGTAGTCCCTTTCCAACTCAAGTTAATCATGCTTCTTTTTTCAACTCAATAATTGATACCGTCAATGTTTTGTTATTCCAGGAAGTACTTTCTGCTGCTACAAACCAGACTGACGAGGCATCAACGTCCAACAACAAACTGTTTGTTGGTTTTCAGACTGTCTCTTCTCTCCTTGCCGCACCACGCCAAGCAAGCAGTAAGAAGGGAGATCCTGGTGCAGGCACACCGTCAAGACTTGAGGAAGAATCCTACCGGAATTTGGATCCCACAAGTCCCCATAAGTCTGGTTTCCAGACGGTCTCCTCGCTGGTATCGCAAGGGGTGTGGGCAGGCAGCGATTCCAAACCCAAGGTGGGAAATGGCAAGAGAGTACAAAACAGCCAGAGCAACTTAGCCGGATGTAGCTCAGGACTTCTGAAAATGACGGCGAGAGCAGAGGCATTGCACAAAGACAAATCATCAGTATGGGTGCCATCAGGTGATTCCTCGGGTCCTACAGCAACACGGGACGGTCTCAAGGACAATCAGGGATATTATGCACCAGGATGCAATGAAAAAAGTAATGAGGCATGCGACACTATTGATGGGAGAATGAAACCTTTATTCGCTGACTCTGAGCATCCAAGCAACGTTCCAGATACCTGTCCAAGGGATCTCACTGTCAACCACGCTGATGCAGCCTCCGGGGATTGTTTAGATGATGACATCAGTGCAGCTCCTCACCCAACTTCTACTGGTACATGTATCCTAAATGCTGCTGCAGAACGTTGTAAAGACCGCCCAGAACTAACCAAAGAGTGTGTATCAGACCATTCAGGCAGGGGGTGTCCTTCAATGGAACCTACCGAGGGAACATCTGTATCTTATCATCCCAGGTAAAGCAGCCGATGACTGTCATAATTGCATTTGTTGTTCTTGAAGCATTTGGATTGTCTTCCATTCTCCTCTGCCATTTCTCTGCTCTTCACTCTCCACTCTGGCATTCGTCCTCAGCTTCATACCCTTTCTGTCCCTCCGCCGTCATCCAAAGGCCTCCCTCCTTTGTCCATTTCCTCTCCTCACCGTTGATGTGTGGCAGCTTTGTGTGTTGCCACTCACGATGTCATGTTGCCTGAGGCAAAGATTCTGCTAAGATTGAAATTTCACACCTGCTTGCTTAACCATTCGTTTGTGTGCTGTTTCAATAAACAGTATTTCTGGTCATGACTTGAAGATATCGAACCGGAAGAGAACAAGCAATTCCGCCCTCAAGGTAGGTTCGGGCTCATGTCATCAACCATTTTCCATTATATTCCAATCATGCCAATCAATCTCTTTTAATTGTTGTAATGCCACCTGTTATAAGCAATTAAAGCTTATGCACTGTCTAAAGCAATACAGTTGACTCTTATCATTACAAACTCGGCTATGACAACATTCCAGTTATTATAAATAAAGGTTCACACTCAGTTGAATTGATCATACCCTGCAAAGCATTCTTACAATTATTCCAAACATGACACCTGTTCACATCGGTGTGTGCACACAATAGGATCTGTGTACATGGTGAACAGTAGACTGGAAGCCAGCACTTTGCACTCTCGCAATGCAGCAAGTTTCTGATGCAACAAACATTTTAATTGGGTCCTGGGGATTTTTTTTAATAACGGGAGTCAACTGTAGCTGTTCAGTTAACCTACTCTGATAAGATTTGAAGGTTTATATGGTGAAGCGAGCAACAGGAACAACTTTGCAGTGACAAAGGCTCAAGGGTCTGTCCCAGAACCTGTCAAACTCACAGTGATATGGCTCCTTGGTGCTGCTACAAACTTGCAAACCCACTCTGATAGATAAAATTCAAGGACCCACAAATAGCTTGTGAATGGCACATGAAATACTTCTGTGTCTCGCCCATAATTTCGTTTGACAGTATGCCTCGTCTGTCAGCAATGAACAGATATGATGGCGCCCGCAATTGGAAACAGCTGTCGCATTATCTGACTTTATAGTTTTGATTTTCGCACATTTATTCACAAAGCATCCAAACTCTTCAAAGAGGCCAAAGCTGTCAAGCCAAGATGACCAGACCGCTGCAAAGAACAACTCTGGCAGCAGTAGCTCAGATGAGAGCAAGCCCAAGAGAACTGTGACCTTTGACCCAGGCACGGTGGACAATGAGAAGTCACGAGAAGACGGAGGGGATCAGAAAGGGTCAAAGGTTAAAGATGTTCGCCGCTTGGCAGCAGACGTCGTGGTGAAGTTATTGACGCCATATTACAAGGACAATAAATTTGGCTCAAAAGTAAGTCATTTATGTCCCCCATGTTAAGTTTTATTGTGTTAATATAGAATTGTGAACTGTTTGGGGTCCACTTCCACTTGAATGCTAAGATCCAGAGGGACAATTACAACTTCACCCCATCCATGTTCTCTGCTATCATTCTAACAGATTTCTTCATCTTGCCAAGCCTTCAGGAGTTTTCTCAATCTGACACTTTTATTCAAGTCAGATGTACTGGTACTGTTCTTGCAAAATGTCCATTTTTCAATACCAGTAGGCCCAAAGTGTTTACTTTTTCCACTGATGTATCCCTAGTGCACGTCCACGCACGAATGAGAACAGAAAATGGCCATAGCAACAAAGCCCTTTGTCTAGATGAATTGAAAGTTCTGAGGTACACCCATCATGGATGTCTGTACATGTACATGTACATGTATGGTCACGGAACAGCTCAGATCTCAGGAAGGGGATCCAAATCCTTCCCAGTCTATGTGAAGGTCTCCAATACCTTGGCCCTTTTATGGTTGTCTGGGAACACCTATTTCTCAGGCTGTTGTTGGTTTATATTTAGTTCAGTCATTGTTCAATAAGTGGATAACTTGGCATTTGTTTTTGTGGAGTTTCGTAGGCACAGATGCCCTTACATGTAAGTGGCAGGGACGTCCCATGTGTTTGTTTTCATATCAGTCTCATTCACAATGAATCAAATTTAATGTAATTGTATATTTAAGTTGGTAGTTATGGTTTTTGGAATTCAATTGTATAAGTTTACATGTATATGGTTTGACATGTCTGTAATTTTGATGTCTTTTTTAGACTTTTGATGTCTATTTTAGACGTATGCCAGTAGTATTATTGTTTTAAACTGTAAGGTGGATTTGATCATATTTTAATGGAAAATGTGTGGTAAAATGTTAAAATGTTAAATAATTCATGTTTGTTCCTCATGTTCAGGATTTGTTCAAGATGCTTGCTAAGCGGCTTGCTCACCAGATAACACTGGATGGTGCACTCACCAAACGGCCATGTAAGTTTACTTTGCTGTGAATGGCAAATCATCAAATGGGATAGAATTTCCAAAAACATTGTGCTATGCCAAGTCCGTTTGAGGCAGATTATTTCCAGTGCACTAATCTGTCAAATGCAGACAATCCAGGATGTCATTGTGAGTCCTCTTTGGAGAATAAGTTACAAATATAAATGCACCTCATACATGTATGTCATCTTCAAAACCAACTGCTCGGACAAACCACACAAATAGCATTTTTCCATTTGGTCCCGATTTTCTCAGTCCTTTTTTCTCCGCAAATCTGACTTTTCAGTAAAGGATAAAGCTAAGAAACTTGTCAAGGATTACTTCAAGAAGCATGCCCTGTGTAACCAAGAAAGCGACCTTCCCTCAGCTCCCTTGCATCAATGATAGTGGCTCTAAGCCAGCGAAGCAGGTGTTTAGCAGGTGTGTTATACAAGTACAACATGTGTTTTTTAAACATGTTAATCTTATGCTTCCATCTATCAAAATCCACATCCTTTTGCATTACTTTAACGTATCCAAAATGTTTGAGCCCAGACTCTACTGACAGGCCTGTGCACTGATGACACCACATTTTTTTAGGAGCTGGGGGGTACAATAAATTCCAAGCTCTGTAGGAAAACATCATGGATAAGTGGAACTTGATGCCAGCAGTACACTGGCCTGTTACATTACAAGGGCTTGATGATGGCCTTGTATCAGTACGTGTCATTTGCATGCTACACATTGTGAACTATGGTATGATTTTTAGTCAACTAACCATGGGAGTTAACATAGTTTTAAATGTCTTGATTTACTGCTATGACTTTTGAACAAAGAAAAAGCAATTTGGCTGCCTTATTAATTGACCTAGAGCAATACACCTTGAATGGGTTTTATGGCTTGAGCTCAGAGGATCAGCGGATTAAACCCAGCTGCTAGAAATGTGGCACATCCTTGGAGAATTATGTATCCAGCCTAAGTTTCACTTTCCTTTATCTGTTTGACCCATTCTCAGGCAAGAAGCAGCAAGTGACAGATTGGCATCTTTATCCAGGGGAAACAGAAATATTTTCGGTCATTCTTTGGGGAATGAGCTGGTGCATTATCCTCCGGGAGCAGAAGCACCCCCTCATCGGTTGAAAAGAGCTGTGTTGGTCAGGAGTGTTCATTTTGCTGGTAGCGATGGGACCGCAACGCTCGCATTTCTTTATTGTTTGAAAGATATTTGTTTATTTTTAAGTTTGTAAACTTGAATCCAGGGAACAGAAATCCCTTTTAAAGGTAATAGAAGATACAGAAGGAAATATTTCAGGTATGGTTCTTGCTAAAATTCAGAAAATCTAGGCGAAGTTATATTTTATGTTTGTCTTGCATAAGAAAAAAAATCAGGTTTCATTGCTGTTTAATCTTTTGTGATTTTATCTTTGTTATTACTCTCCGTAATTTTTAATTTGGTCAAAAATCACTGCATTGTAGCTGTTTATTCCCAATATTTATGACTGGAGAAAAAAAGTCCTGAGTTTATTTCACAATTTTACACAAAATGTGGCCCTACAGGCTTTGCTAACTGAACAGTACAGCTTAGTGCAGACATTAACTGTAGGAAATGAACTTACCAATGGCTTCATACCACCCAAAGCTTATATTTGCCAGTTTTATAGTCATAATGGAAAGAGAGTAAGATTAGCGTTTTAAGAGTAGGGACTTTGATTTGAGCAACTTTGTCTACATATAGATCATATTCTCTCAGTTTTCAGTAAGCCCGATCTGTGGGGAATAATATTTGTATTAGAAATACTTAAAAACGTTTTTGCAAGCAAGTTGAAACTCCATGTGATGAAGAGATACAGATGTGATTTAAGTTTTACGTGTTGAAAAATGTCCCCAGTTGTTGTTGTTTGCCTGTTCGTTCAGAAAACAAAAGCCTCACTGGGAGGTGTAACTACATACAACTAAAGTGAAAACGAAGGTGCACATTGCAACACAAATGAATGCATATTAACAATATTCAATGTTATGTCATGATGTTTTGTCGGATGGCATCATCAACTATATAAATTAAACTTGTTGATTCCACGGTAAGAATAATAAGTCTCTATCTTTAGCCCGCTGAGAGTCTTGGCAACTTTGTTGCTTCTGCAATATTTAAAAGTGGGCTTCAGCTAGCCTATTAGAAGAGAATGAAATTGTTTATACATTTATTTATAACTGATTTATATGTACTGAAAACAAAACCTAAAATTTGAGAAAGGTATCAGTAAATGTCCTGAATCAATGATATCAGTGGCTTGGCCGGGATCATTTTCATGGTATCTAACTGGTGAGTGTATACCCGTTGGCCCATGGACGGCTGTTTCTATTGTCTCTCGAGGGCAGGGTTGGATTGGGGGGGGGGTTGAAAGTTTAGACAGGGGCAGTGATCTGTTCACGGCTTATGTGGATACGAAGGTACAGTTTACCGTATGCGGATTGCAGATGCGGATTCAGAGGGTTAGAGTCAACGTGACTCTGACACAAACATTTAACAGTTTCAGCAACAAACAGTTAACTCATGCTACGTGTTATAGGTATGTGTATCAGTCACAATGTAATGTGTCCATGCACTGGTCTGCAACGGTCGGGCATCAAAAACTCTGATGAGCCTGACCCCTCGGGGAAAAAAGTCTGGATCCGCCCCTTGCGTCTATTCAGAAGTTAAAAAAACACTGATTCGTTTTCTTGCCCCCCCCACGTTGGAACGTCTGGAATCACTCAGTAAGGCGGCCAATAGACCTTTTCACTGATAAATTCATAATTATGCACGCGTGCACAGAAATGGCCTTGGCGGAAAGAAGTGTGAGAGGGCCACTGAAAACGTGCAGGAGTGCGAGTTTGATCATTTCCCCTCAGGTTTTCTGACTTTGATCATTTTTTTTCAGAAAATCCCATTAGGCCTAAATCGTTTTTGCTATAAATCCACACGAAATGAGACCAGATTAGATACGGCAATCTCGTGCGTACAGCAAAAAATTACGATTTAAAGTCATTTACAGAGCACTAAAATCCCACTTTGATAGAAACTAAAAAGCAAAAACGATTTAATGGTCCAAAGTCCTGGGGAATGGGACACGCTTCCATTGATACCTTTGCCAACCTCATGCTGCTGGAATTGGCATTCAAAGAACGATCTTCAGTTCCACTATAAATATAGAGATCGTTCCAAGCTAGAACCTTGTTGGCGCTGTTACGGTAAAATAAAGTAAAAACGCTCGTCTGTCCGTGTGGGCCTATTTGGAATTCGCATAATGCACAAATCCTATTTAGTGTTTACGGTCGTCACTAATGATGTGCAAAACGCCACAGCTAATTCGAAACCACACATCATGGCGAAAAGATTTGGGACGTATACATAGAGTAATAAGCCCTTTGCAAATTATAATTGGAATTACTTGCGCTGCACTGCGTTATCTGATTGCACCTAAACATATAATTTTGAATTTCCCAGACCAGAGACAATGTTAATATGCTTCGTGATTCAGAGCAAGCTTTTGCATTAGCGACCAGCAACTCTCTAATGGATTGGTTCGTTCCTTTGCGTCTTTTATCAATTAAGAACAGCATGTTGGTTAAAGTAAGGGGTCTCTTATGTAGCTGAACAAAATCTTGCCCCGAATCACTAGTTACAGCGACAGTGTCTTTAGTATAGAAAATTCGAATTGTGTTCATATGAATTTAAAGAACTCAGTGTACCAGATTTTATTCAAATTTGACTCGCAAATGCTTATTGAAACTTAGTAGGGCAATTCATTTCTTCCTAGAGATGATTTTGACAAGCGTGCAAAGCGTAAAGGTGGCTACAATACAATTGTTAACAAGTATTGAGAACCTTACACATTGCAAATGCCCACTCTCCATGAGCATTTGTTTGTTCGCTCATGAAAATGATGATCAGAAATAGACGGCTCCGGTACATTATGATTCCTGGACCGAATTTCATGGCGATGCTTAACAGTTAGTAATTTGCTTATTATGGTGACTCGAGTCGAGTCGGTGACACGAGTCGAGTCATTGACTTGAGTCATTACAACTCTGCTCTACATATATTTACTCAACAGACCCCAAATTCTATAGCGCGTATGTGCTAACATGAGAAGTTTCATCAACGTTAGATGATAATTTAATTTAGTCATAAACCGAATTCTCATTGCTACTTTTCTTGAACATATTCCTTGACCATGACTTCACAGAGTTGAAGGAAATCAAATTTATCACCATAGTTAACATCTACACTGACATAACGAGCCAAAGTAGGAGGGTCACAAACAAACTCAATCCATGCCCCCGGTTGGGCCTGAGATTCAGTGACTGCTGAGCCACATATCATGTTACGGGTGACTTCAGAGTTGAGACCCACGCGAACTGTTGCGCCGATCAAGCGATCCTCTGCAAAAATGTAAAAAAGCGATCATTTCTAAATGTACAGACGTCATGGTAGATCTACAGTAACAAAGTTTAATATATGTGAGAGGAAAAAGATAGAAGCTGTTAAGTCTTGAGTTGTCTTATACGTCTACAGCCTACTGTATTTTGTGCTAATTGTCATACACTTGATAGGCTTCAAGATAGGGTACACCATTGTTAAAATCACGAAAATGGGACTGTCGAATAATCTTTGGATGTCTTAAATTCAAGAACTATATAACAGTCACCGTGTAATCTTTACAATTTTGTCCGCCCCGATGCCGCTGTTTTTCGAGAAAATTTCAGAAATTTGGTTCAGTTTCTCACAGTAACCATGGTCGGTCCACCATCATTTGAATGTACGTTTCGTTTTATATACCACACTCGTTAAACGACGCTAATTTTACGTGTAGTGTTATCAAGAGGTTGTAGGAGTTCATACAAAGGGTTAATATTAAAAGCAGCTGCAACATACTGACGAAATTCACTAAAGGAATTACATGTACCTGTATAACAAATGGAAGGAGTGAAGTAAAAGGGAATACGGATCAGTTGAATCTATCTATGAAACGGAACATTCTTAACGCGAACAATAATAGAGCCTCAACTGAGTTGACCCGCTGAGATGCGCTTCCAGAACCCTTGGATAGGACAAATAACCTGCAAAGATTTTAGACTTTGTTATATTTTTCGTTCAGATACTTCTTAAAAATCCAAATTGGAAAAGGGGCTTTGGAAAATATTTGCCAGTATATCAATTTATAGAAACTGAAAAATTGCCTGATCTAAAAGAGAAATATTCTGCCCAAAATTGACCCATCACTTCCGAAAATCTAAAATACACGAAGAACAGTGCAATGCGGCAGTCTCGTATGCAGATGAACATTTACAGTGAGATTTTATGGTAGTCTGTCGGTAAAAGCCGGAATAAAAACAAATCAAAATATTTTACAAACTGTTTCGATTTAGGTAATAAACTTAAAGCAATAATCTACTTTTACAAGAGATTCTAATATTTATTTACCTTTGCTGACAACAATTGCGTTATATCAAATTAACGGAACATGAAACCCATCGACTACAGGTAGGGAAATATTTGCAACGTTTCACAATCACATTTTCACGCACTGGGAGTGAAAACAAACGTGTATGAACAAGGTGACCTGGGGACGATATCGCCGGACGTGAACGTCGTTGATGAAATTCGTTCTTCACCCATCTCCAGGTGGCGTTTCCTAAATATTACTTGAGGAGGACAAAGGTAAAATTCCAACAGAAGTGTTTCGTGGGGTAGTTTCAGTTAGGGACTATTCTTCAAAAAATTATCGAACGTGATAGGACGGCCCAATGTAAAACTCCCATAGGCAAACCGCGCCAGGGTTCCGGAAGCTCGTTACGTGACCTTCTACCTTCAGGCTGTATATTGCCATCTCGACTGTCACCCCTAAGGCATTATGGTATAGTCCAAACTTTTCGACTTGGCAAGGAGCTGCACAGACAAGGTTATTTTTGTCCGACGATTTCAAATGATTTTCAGGTGTTATACCTCCTATAATTTTTCACCTTGCCTATAATTAGTAGTTTGCATCGTTCGCTTTCTTAGAACGGCGTCTTGTGCATGAGATTTGCGCAAGGAAAAGACCTTCGATTTCACCACACTGTTTTCTCAGTTTTCTAAAAGCAGTTAATTAACTCAAAACATGAAAAAAATCTTTTTGGGAAAAAAAAGCTGCAGTAACTTTTGTATCCCAAACTCAACCAGTCTTGTATATTATTATAGTGAAAATCAATAGTGTAGGCCCATCATTCTTTTAACTTTTTCAGTGTATGATGATGCGCATGTAGGTTTATAGCAAGAAGTTCTTCCTCCCTGAAGTCTCAACCATACCCACGAAGCAAGCATTTGTTAAGTACATGTTGTTATGCATGTTTTTGAAATTTTCCTTTCCTTAGTTTAAAATACACCACATACAGTTCTATTGTAATACTTGCACGCGTATTCGTTTTTAATTAACTGTGGCTGTGCTGAGTGTTTGGATATTCAATCATTTGGAAATTGGTCCGACATTTGGTGGTTTTAGATTTGAATGTGTACCGAATGTTAATTGAGGGAAAAGGAAGGGGAAATGGCAAGTTTCGGACAAAGGGCTGACGCTAGTCGGCGTCGTGCATGTATCAGCAGTCAATGAGGGACAAGCCGTATTCATTAAGTGTGACTGATATTCTTGAGGCTCTATTACAGTTTTCGGTTTTTTTTTTACAATACCATGTCCCACACTTTGATTTAATGCTTACCACAACAGTCACCTCTATTGACAATGGTGATGCGTCCCAAAAGGCGGTCTCCTCCCAAGTCAACACGCCACCAAGGATGTTGGGCGGTACCTTGAGGGTGTTCCAAACAAAAACGTTAGTTCTAATTTAACGTATCATGTAAAGCATTCAGCTGTTTTCTAATGATCACTCCAAAAACTTATTTGCACATCCAGAGAATACACGAGTTTTTCCTCTTTTTTTAGCTCTAGTTTTGTTGGTACAGGAAACCTGTTTTACCAGTATAGTGTTGTTTCGAGCAAGCATATACTCTGACATTCTTCGTGTCTATATGTTCTGTAAATTAAACTGGCCTTTGCTGTAACTAAGACGGGTAAAGTCTTTCTGACACCCACCTGTGTGACCACAGTAGGGCTCGCTGGTCATGACTGTATTAACGTGGCCGTCGTTGGCTCGTTCAGGGCCATATGAAAGTCCGAAGAGTGGGCTCAGCTGGCTCGACTTTCCGACCAATGACAATTCTGCATGCGCTAACAAGAATCTCTTCATACATAAGCAGTGGCACA